AATATACATACATATTTTATCTATCCAGAAAATCTCTTTTTATTTATTTCAACCTTTTTTCTTTGTGTTGATAAAATGTTTTTATATCTAGTTAAAAGCCTGTGTAACTTTGAGTAAAAGAAAAATACTCTTTCATATGCATATATATGTAGGTACATTTTTACCATACATAAAAAATATTGAAGAATACTTTTCCGCAACTTTATTTAAGATATTTTCTTTGAGACCGACGGCAGTTACTAAATATTTATAATGTATTTGAAAAATAAAAACATTTAAAAAAAATTATTAAGACTAAAAATTGTTTATAGTTTACTACTTTATAGTTTTTAACTTTTTTTCACTTAAAAAAATACTTTAACATGTAAATAATAATTTTTGGGCATCAAGTTGACACTCAATAAGCTAATTGTTATGTTATTGTATGATTTTTACTTCGTGTATATATGTAAATAAGAGAAATAAAATACAATATGTTGATTATTTTATGATTATCATAAATATACCGAGTTATGTTAATAGATGACTAAATAGGACTTAATTTATCTACCTCAGTATAAAAAAGACAATATTTTTTTGGCGTTGACTAAATTTTTTCATTTCTAACTAAATAGTTAAAAAAATACTTTATAAGAAAACAATTTTTATATCAAAAACATGTGTAGTCCAAAGTTGAATTTGGAAGTTTATTGCAACGTATAGTGAATATAATTAACAGAATACAAGCAAGCCATTCTTCTTTAGAAATCTGGGCGTCCCACCTTTACTCGAGGCTTTAGCATTGGCTCATGGCACTTTGTATTTGAATTCCACAGCGAACTGCAAATTTTATAAAGATGGAAGATTCAAATACCCTCTTCAAAGAGCTGCTAAAATGCAAAGGATGCCATGTCCCTGGCATCTCAAGATGATGACTCTTAGTCTCAAAGAAGATGTCAGCAACTTAGTAAACTTTTACATGGAATTGCTGGAACTTCCCGATGATTGGAGGAAAATAATTAGGTGTTGGGGATTCACGATGAGGGAAATTTACGACCAAATTATAGATTTCTTCTAATTACTTCATATTTAAAAATCATTGCAAGGACTGTGGCAAATTATATGCCCACGCGTTACATGCCGTTGCTGATTGTTATGTGGTGTCCATTTTAAAGAACTTTCTAGTTCAAAATATTAAGAGATTGAACAACTGTTTTATCGTTTGGTTTTCCAAAAAAGCGATTAGATGCTTCTAAAGCGACTGCTTATAAAATCATAAATGCTAAAGCACTTATTGCTAAGAGGTTGACCACAAATGAATACTCAGGGAAACTTAGAACCATAATGCTCTCAGCGGAGGCTTTCGCTACGGATACCGTAGCTTCTGGAAATCTCTTGGTGCGTTGCTGCGAAAGAAATAAAGTACTTCCAACTAAGTTAAAGCATCTTTTAAAAATAATGAAAAAATATATAAAATCTTACAAATGTGTTTTGAAAATACTTATTTTATTGTTGTGCATTATATATTAAGTACAAGTTATTTATGCCATTTTATATTTGTATAACTAAGTTAATATTTGATTGGAATTTTATACTATAATGTCTATTTATGTATTTTAATACATAATCATTTAATTGAAATAAAGATTGGTAAAAAAAAACTTCAACTGGAGTTATAGCTACAATACGTACAGTTTGTTAATACTTTTGATTCAAACTTATGAACTCTACCATATCCATTTTTTCGTTTGAAATATAAAAATTATATGCTTCAAAACAAAGAGTTGTTAATCATAATTTGAGATTGAAAAATGGGTCATAAAATTATTTTTATGCATTCAAAATATTGACAAATATGTTACCTCCTGCCACCCCTTAAGCTCTTTATAAATCTTTATAAAACTGCCCTACTAATGCATTTCCCCTCATGCAATCAATAATTTTATTAATACATGAACATTATATATAGTTTTCTAATAAGTAGGTCGAACATCATCGTATGCTCAGGAGCTGATTTGTTAAATTTTATAATTTATTTATCCAAAAAATATTTTTTAATTTTTTATTCAACAGTTCAAATTTTAAATATGTACAAGGAAGTAAATTCATAAAAACCTAAGAAAATACGTGAGAAAACACATAAATAAATATTATAATAAAAATAAGTTTATTTGGTGGGTACACCAAAGACTGAAACACTATTTTTATAGTTAAAATAATTGTATTCTTTTACTGCAACGAGGAACACAGTGTAAAAAAGTACACTAAAAACATAATAAATAAAAATAAATCTGGACAGTGACATAATAAAAACATCAATAAACATTATAGTTCAAAATTACTGTCTAGATAAAAAACTATATATATATAAACAACAATTAATGAAGTTAATTTCTATTCAATACAAAACGGCGCTGCATTCTTAAAATCCTTCTGATGTCGTTCCAATATAATTTTCAACTGTTTGGATAAAATTTAATGAGGTCTCCAGCCCATTTTCAAGTTGACGCTCCCAAATTAGGAATTTTGACCTCAAAAGCAGAGTATTTTTAAAATGACTGTTATTTTAAAACTTAATATGTATTAAAATTAATGTTATTTTATAGGATAAACTTTATTTATTCTCCATTTCTAAATGTTGAGACTCAAAAGATCAAATACAGAAATATACTGTTTATAGTTTTTGTTACCGGGCTCGGATTGAAATAATCCTTTTTTCATTGTTTTAGTGACAAATACTATTTTTATTGATATAAGTATTTTCTTTAAACATTATATTATGCGACTATTTACTCATTTCCATATTGATATTTAAATATTCTTTATAAATCTTTTTTTTTTGTTGTCCCAATTTAACTATCATTAGTTAATAAAGTTAAGCTGGGTGCTGTAGAAATAAAGTCATTGAAATAAGAAAAAGTAAATTCTTCCAGTTGGCAATTTATATATTATATTTTTGACTTATTGTCTTTAGTAAAGACCATATAAACATTAGAAAGTATTTTTTTGCCTATTTGGTTCGACAAAATTGCATCCGACTGGATATAAATAAGCAATATATATCGTATAACTAGTCTGTTGAACCTGGGTTCTTACCAATGAGGTACACAAAAAATTACCATACCCTCTCGGGATTTGAACCTGTGCCCCTAATATTGAGAGTTGAACACGCCTGAACACACACGGCTATCGCACTCTCTTAGAGTATTAGTTAGTTTCTAATTCTTGGGTAAAGTACAGCGACAGAAAAAGACTTAAGAGAGTATCGTGACTGAGGCACTCTATGTTCTCTATGGTGAAGGCATACTTTAGTCTTTGTCGACTGACTTTATTTTATTATTCAAATTACCCAAAGAGGTTTACTGCTACAAACAATAGGCATATAATAAAATAATATGAACGCCTGAAAGACCTTTGAGTAAAAAGTTATTTCAAACGACCCGCATCTTTTAAAACTTATATGTGGATTACTACTATTGAGCCAAAGGTATAATAACATGACAAACTTCTCTAAGTGTGTCATGCTATCTTTTTGCGTTTAAAAAATCTGCTGTTTTGTGAAATGCTTATCAATCCGATCCTTCATGAAAAGGTGAAAACAGAAATTGTCTATCGTCAACTATGATGAAACAAAAATATATATCTTTCTCTGAAGTTAATGACTTTTTGATATTTTCAATTTTAAATGACAAAATAAACAGAAACTACTTATGCCAAAAATATCAGACTGCCCAAATGATTCATAAATAATTGATTTGGTTTAACCTGTGTTATTTTATTTGGTCTTTTACTCGTTGTTAATACGGAGATGAATATAAACTAGTGCTTATTTTTTATTGTTATTTCCTTTTAATTCCTATATGAAGACATTGTAATTACCTCTGCCGAAGGAGGTATTGTTTTCACTGACGTTGGTTTGTTAGTTTGTTGGTTTGTTTGTCAGCAGTATAACTCAAAAAGTACGGAACAGATTCGGATGAAACTTTGAGGAGTTGTTGGAAATGCCAAAAGAAACAAGTGATTAAATTTTGGCATCTCTGAATGCAGAATTAAGATGCAAAATGAGCTAAATACTACTAAATATTTCAAGTTAGCCTACTCAGGCAATAGATATCGCTGTGCTGTGAAATTGGGTACCGGGAGCGTCTTCCTCTCGGAATTTCCGTCGAGGGGAACCCTCCCCCGTCCCTCTACGCCACCCCAGTCGTGAATCATCCGCCTCGGAAGGCTCATAAGGACCCCGTGACGGATGAGGTTTGCACTCTCTGAGTGTACAAAAAATTTATGTCAGTCGAATTTTAGTAATTAAGGCTGCAATAGAGTCCCTTTTACGTTTCCTCCAAGAGGCCTCATGAAATGGATTCGTTCCTTCGACTTTTTCCTGGAGTGTCCATAGATCCTGTCCATCTTTACAATAGGCCTCTAGTTGGAATTATTTTTAAAAATAATTAGACTTTTTAATACAATTAAAAAAATATATAAAACTAGAGGCATATATACACTCAGAGAGTGCAAACCTCCGCCGTCATTGATTAAAACCATTGGTTGATCATTGATTGGAATGAAATATAGTAGGAGAAAAGTAATATATATATAATTTTTTTACTTCAACTTGTTCATAAGACGTAGGCCCATATTATAATAATATATTAAAAATGCATGTTTCATTGCCTTAGGTGCAGAGTACTTAGAGAGAAGAAAAAAATTGTTGGAATGTTGAATAATTTATTACTTTTTCTTGGTATCAGATAAATATTGAAAGCAAAAAGAGGAGATAAATTTAATATTGTAAGACGTCTTTTATTTATGGTAGGTAGTTAGGTAGTACAATATGAATGATTTCTAATCGCATATATGAAATGAGTCTGGAAGGGGAGGGAGGGGGAGGGTATCATGTGGCAGTGTTTTTGACAAAGTGCCACAGTGCTTAAGGGGGACCATAGATAAGAAAGTTGTCTTTTACACTTGTTCGAACGCTAAGGAATCTATGATTGTCAATCTTTATTAATGATCTCTTGATAACGGCAATATCATGTTGAAAGCACCAGTTCTCGTCCGATCACTGAAGTTAAGCGCCTTCTAGAATTAATCGTCCATTTTTACCCTTCAGGATGAAGATCTCTATTTTATCCACAAAGATTTTTCTCTATGCTTCCACAGTCTCAACAATAGTACCTTTGAAACCCACTTAAAGAGACGTGGGATACAAAGAAGTATAAGTGACTATGTCACTGCTGTGAATAATATATTTTTTATACCCTCAGAAAAATGGTTCAAGTATCGACTTTTGACCGGTTCACTGGAAGTGACAAACACGTTTTTTAAAGACCATTAAAAGAACTGTTTATTCTGTAAAATACACCCAGAAACCACAGATCATCTCCTTTGGAACTGCCCTGCATTAACAGAGACTTACCAAGCCCTCCAAATCTCAGTAGAAGGCCCTTTCAAGATCAAAACTTCTGAGGAAGATTTTCTGGCGTTCACAAGGAATGCCAAATGTGACGCTGTCATAATCAAAGTCCAAAACATTTTACACAAAATGCGAACAGTTAAAAACGAAGATCTTTCTTTTATCATTCGAATTGCTTCTTTGTAGTCAAAATTTGTATTACATATATGATTTTTATTGAAATGCCTTTATTAATATGATTATTTCCAAATTATTTGCATGTTTTCTTATATTTGTTTCGATTAAATAATTGTTATTTATTTATCATTTATTCACTACGTGTCTGTACAAACCTTTTTGAATATCTTTGGTTTAATTCGTCGAAATATATATGCCCAAAGGGCCAAGTAAAAAATCTGTTGATATCATCTTTTAGTCCATTTTAGGTGATAGGATCCCTGTTGAAGTGAACAAAACAATTTAGGGATAAAGTTAGTTAGTCATGATATTTTTCAACGAGTGTGCCGGACGGTATGGGCGAAGATATTCGTCCCATGGTGGCCAGGAAGTAACTGACGTTGATCAGAGATAATTTAATCCTTTCGTCACAGACATAAACTTTATTTAGAAAACATAAAAAATTTAACTATGCAAATGAAAGGCGAACAAAATTATTTGCATTTTATAATTGGATGTCCTTTCGGAGGAGGAGTTGAATATGTACTGTATAATTGTGGTATGAATGATAAATAAAGAAAAACAACAAATAATTTAGGTGGATATACGATACACCAGATACGAGATAAGGAAGGGAACTTTTGTTTAAGTAAGGAGTTATTCGTTTTTTCATTTGTCGGCCTAACTCATGTGAACCATCTTCTCTCACTTCGTGCATGAGTTATCATGAGAAAGAGAAGAATTTTATCCAATGAGTTATTCATGTATTAAATCATGGATCAAACTCATAATCTCTTCTCAACTCAGTGAGTGAAAGAATGAGGTTATTATATTTGAATACTTTTATTATTAAGTATAAATATTTTGTATATTTTCTTCTTTTTTACTTCACCGAAGTGACACTGCTGCCATTGTATCCGAGAACGACGCAAGTCCTATGTTTATACACATAAGTTCATTTGTTTTTATACAAATGATATTTTGAATATGTGTCTTTTTATGAGTATTTAAGAAATAAAACAAATAATATAACATATGTTCGAGAGAAAAACTTGTGATCTTTCAAATTAATTGATCTGACGGGCTTCCTTCTTTTAAGATTTGATAACTTTTGTAATGGTTTGTTGGCTGTGCTTTATACTTTTTCATGAACCAATACTAATAGGATAAGCGAAAAATGTCCAAGTAGACCATAATAACATTTGTGATAATACAACTATTAAACAATACATACTAAATATGTTAATATAAAGGGATTGGCCCATTTCAATTTTCATTTTTTCATTAAAAACCATTTGTTTTTTCAAGGCTTCAAAAGTCAAAAGAAAAGTATTTTTATATCAGCCCCTGGAATGATTTGTCGTCTGGGTCGTTTCGAAAATCGAAATTTGAATATTTTTTCCTCTAATTTAAAAATAAGGCATACATTATTTCTAAACAGAACATTCCTCTGTGTATAGCTTTTATGGAAGAATAAAAATAATACATTTTAAAAACTATTTGTAAGGGCGAATTTTGGCGCCCATAGTTGCTGATATATAAACATCTTCTCGTTGTTTTTTGCAAAAATCTTATAAAAATATTGCTGATTACAGACTTTTAAATGAGGGTTCTTTTATTTAATTTAATTGAAGAGAAAAAGCTTATTTTCTATTCCAGGGGTCATAGCAATAATAGAAGACGTTGTTATTTAAAAAATGGCTATGCGTAAAACTTTGCAATCTTTTTTTGTGTCAACAAATGACAACAAATGTTTTATATGCCATTATATTTATTTTATGTCCTGCTGTTCCTTTATTTCAAGTTTTTCAAAAATAATTGTGAGAACAACCATTTATTTGTACAACTTAATTAAGAAAATGCAAATTTTGAACTCACAATTATACAAAAATGCATTATATTCATAAAAATTTACACTCATGTTTATACAAAAGAACAACAATATCATGTATTTTTTAAAACACTACAACTATGACATATTTAAGATATATCCGCTATTATGGACACATTATAGGGTAGGAGGACTTTATTAGTTCTTAATTTATACTTAAAAATTTAGAAAGGGCAACACCTATTGACTTATGAATCGCTTAACGTTTTTTAAAGAAAAAAGTATGGGGAAGCTATTGGTACTTTAAATCCCCCATTTGTATATCTCTAATTCACTTTATGCAACAACAAAAAAGAAATGTCTTCAAAAGCAATACAAAGATATATACATATATGTAGCATGGTTAAAACTATACTTTTTCTAGCTGAACTTAACAGTTTCTTATTTTTTTTGCAAAGATAAACCCATGATTTTTTCTAGTGGCATGGTTGAAACATGTCACGGAAATATATTTCATGCAAAATATTTATTTTTACGACCCAAATAACTTCTTCTTACACCATCTGCAGCAATATACATATAAATATAAATATTCCTTGAGACAATTAAAGATTATTAAAATATATAAATTGGTGTTATTAATATAACTACCAAAATAACATTTATTGGATTCCGTCACAAAGTTGTAAGTCTTTTTGATTTTACTAAAACCTTTTTTCGAAATAACTCCATTTTTTATTTGGTTAATTTGTGATCAGGGAACAAAAAGAAATATAACTTTTTCACTTTTTATAAGAAAAAATTATGCTTCTTATAATTCTTTTGAAAAACTTAAATTGTTCAATGTAAATACCAGAATAAATACTTCACTATGAGTTTTTCCCGGAATATTTTGCAGGCTCTGAAAGATCATTTAGTAAATAAATTCAAACATATATGACGTTAGAAAGTGGTCAGTATTCTATTTTGATATTTATTATTTACTTGGTTGAACTGATGAATATTATTTTGAATGAAAATGGTTCTTATTACATCAAAACGGAAATGAAAAAGTACACTTTATATCATATAAATATGAAACCCAAATCTAATATCGGTTTTCATATTAATTAGATTGTCTTTAAAAAGATATTCCTTTTCCTGAAAACAAACCTGCATTTGAATAATTAGAACTTGAGCCTGCTTCTAAAAAACTGTTGCATCACTATTTGTGTTTTACAAATTTATTGTGTATTTAATATGATTAATTAAAAATATTGATAGTCAGCAAATTAGCATTATTACTTACGTTGAACTTATTGGCAAGATTTCCACTCGCAGAGCTTACAAAGGCCGCAGCCGAGAAAAAGGATGAAGGTCCTCCAGAGTCTTCACGGACTTTCTTCTGTTCAGAGCGAGTCCCGGATGCATTAACACTATTACTACCGACACCACAATAGTTCGGATCGGACCTCTGACTTGCCTGGATCAATGTTTTAAGGAGAATATGAAACACTCCTTTCACATCCTGATATTTAATCAATTCAACTTGGCACGAAGGTCACGTCACACAGGGCAAAAAGGGAGAAACCTCTCTTAGCCAAAATCCATCTATGAAAACGCGGGGCTTAGATAATTACAAATTCCATACACAAAAAGGTTTTTGGGATAATTCATTGCCTGCAGAGCCTTAATTTTTTCAGTATGTTCATTTAATCATAAGAATTATTACTTCATACTTCTAAGGGAAAATGCATTTTCTTATTTATTAAGTGTAACTTTTAATTTATAGATATTACATGGAAAAGATACATAAAAAATATTTAACATTGATATACGAGCTAGTATAAATATTGTAGGTGTTTTTATCAGATGAATAATAAAGGATACCACACAGGAATATTTCTAGAGCGTTATTGTTTGAAAGAAAAGAGCTTGAGTAATGATATTAAGCTGTTGGATTCAAGTTTAAAGAATATATATATATATATATATATATATATATATATATATATATATCTATATATATATATTATATATATATATATATATATATATATATACACACATAATAATGAAATAGTATTCTTATTATTGTTTTCACGCCATAAAAATATATTATACTAGAGGCATATATACACTCAGAGTGCAAACCTCCGCGTCATGAGCCTTCCGAGGCGGATTTCACGACTGGGGGCGTAGAGAGACGGGAGGGTTCCTAGACGGAAATTCCGAGAGGAACACGCTCCCGGCACCCAATTTCACAGCACAGCGACATCTCAGAGTAGGCTACTTGAAAATTAGTAGTATTTAGCTCATTTGGCGCCTTAATTCTGCACTCAGAGATAAAATTTAATCCCTTCCTTTGGCACTTCTAACAACTCACAAAGTTTCATTCGATCCGTTCAGTACTTTTTGAGTTATCTTGACAAACCAACAAATAACAACCAACAAACGCCAGTGAAAACAATACTCCTCGGCGGAGGTAAATATATTTTTGATTAAAATATAAAATATATAGAGCTGTAATTATTATAAACTCATTATTTTCTTCTCAATTTCGGTGTGACTTCAAAAAAATAATCGGCATGTATTTCAATATACCTCGGTTAGTATTAAGATATAAGGCTTCACTTTAATAATATGTACTTATGGATACAAATAACATTATTGAAGACTCTAAGTGCCTCCGATTCATTTCATGCTTATTATCTTTAGATTAGATGTTTTCATTTTTCCTTTTTACATTAACT